GGTGATACCCTGACGCTTCTCCTGCTCCCACGGTCGAGCCCACGGTAGTGTTTCCAATCGGGTGGGCAAGCCTGGCGAGCGCCTTGCCCGTAGAGATGAGCGAACAGTTCGAATTCGATCGAACTCGAACGAACATCGAGCTGTTCGTGATCGCTCGAACACGAACATGAGGTGTTCGGATTCGAACTGTTCGAACACTTCTCGAACAGAAGTTCGTAGGCGAACAGAATTCAAGTATATTTCAGAAAGACGCGTCAAAAATGGTCGTAATTAAGGGGGCAATGGCAGGCTAGTAAATAAATACAATTTTAACGTTAACGGAACTATTGTAATCCACCAGAAAGAGCTTTTGTAACTTATTAGCAAAATACAAATTTCTAGAATTGTTCGTGTTCGGATCGAATTTGAACATTAAACTGTTCAGTTCGGTTCGTTCGAAGAAAAAAATGGTTGTTCGTGTTCGTGTCTGTTCGAAGATTTTTAGACCAAATTTGTTCGAGTTCGTTCAAACTCGAACCGGGCTGTTCGCTCATCTCAACTTGCCCGGCATAGTGTGTCTCTCCCACCCATGTGCACTCAGATGTGAGGGAGAGAGACAGACTGTGCCGGGTAAGGCGGCCGGCTGGCTGGCTCGCCCGATTGGATACACTATCCCACTGTGCCGTCCCAACACTAAATCCGGAAGGACTTTTATTGTCCATCATAGACAGACGCGTTTTCGTGCACATCTTAACCGAATGCAGATTTGGATCCAGCAAGTGACAATTACGTTTTTTGTCAATCATGAAGATGCAAAATTCTCCAGGGGCCCAAACGTCGCGGGCCGCGCGGCTCGCTCCTGGCAGCCGAAATTGCGAAATTGGCGAATATTGGTTTTGCCGATACGCAGGCCGCACAGTGCCCTATCCCAAACTATATGCAGCCAGGTAGCGGTGACGCGATCACTGGAAAAAGTTTTAAAAACAGGTATTTGCGCCTGTGGTGACGTCTCTTAGACTGCCCACGCTACACGCCTGTAGCGCATCGTAGCCTAGTACGCAGGCGTTTGACATTATTAAATTTTTCCATTGATTGCGTCGACGCTACCTAGCACGCTACATAGTTATGAATACGGCACGGTACGGTCTACGTAATGGCAAAAACAATATGTTTGATTTTGCCAATTTAGGCTGCCAGGAGCGAGCGGCGCGGCCCGCAACGTTTGGGCCCATGAAGACGCCCGGTCAGTCGCGAGCTCGGATTCTCCACGTCGGGTGTGAAGTAGGACCCACATGGTCCCAATTTAAACCCGAGACGTCTCCTCTGACCCCACCGTGTCAGCACGGCAGAGCCAAAAGATGGCGGGTCGCCGCGCGCCAAATTCGAGCCCGCTCAGAAAATCGCGATGCGCGTCGGGTAAACGTTACCGCACAGAGCCTAAACTATGCACAGGGTCTCTACTAGGTCTAATCTTTCATTTGAAGTGCCGACCTCGAAACTTTTTTTTCTTGTGGAATGGCCTACATCTCCTGTTGCACATTGTGAGATTCACGACTACTTCTATGAGTTCTATAGATTTCGTTTGTTACTCTAGAAACTCAACAGTGTACATTGTGTGCTGATAAATCAGCAATCATTGATGATTGCTGATATATCAGTAAACATGGCATTATTGCTGATATATCAGCAATCATCACTGATCACGGTTAGGTTTTTGGCCAATATTTCCTTTCAGATGGACAACAGCAGAAAGTAGATAGCATTCCTCGCATGAAGAGCTTTCAAAGCTACTAGTGATAGGGTTCACTTTCAAAATGGCCCACCTCTCGAAAATGTTGGTAATGTAAACCACGTTATGGTAACAGTCAATTTGAACCCTTTCACATTGAAAGCTCTTTTCACAAGGCATCTGACATATTAGCAATCGTGCCAAGTCCACTAATATATGAGCAATCATCAATTGATAGCTGATGTATCACACGGTAAAAAGAATGTCTTGAAATCCCAGGAAATTTCTAGGATTTCAAGTTCGGGTGGATAATTTCAAGATTGGCCCTTGAAATCCCAGACTCTGCCTTGAAACCCGTAGCTTCCAAGGAAAATCCTTGGAATTTTTGTTTGGTATTCAACGGTTTTCCTTGAAGCACGATCTGGATACTTCAAGAAAAATC